GCATTGGCTGAAGTTACTGTAGATGACCACTTAAGCTAATTTTACGTATAATTTTTTCTTTATTTTATTAATGAAATATATTTTAAATTTTTTTTACTTAAATCAGCAGAATCAGCCAATGCAGCCACTTCAGCCAGAACTTTATAAATTTCAGCAGAATCAGCCAAATCAGCCAATTTTCGTGTTACCAAATGGTCTCTCATTATCCCACTTTTTTGGCGATAATATACCAGAAAAGATGTCATCGGCGTCGATTTTTTCTGCCGGAAAGTGTACGTTCTAGTGGAAAAGTCCTCAAAATGCAAAGATTTATTAGTTACATGACCAAATTTTCTTGGGCTAAAAATCCCAAATTTGTTACGAATTGAAAGACACTCAACACATTCAAGAACTGGACAGATCGCACCCCTACATTTTCCTTTATAAGAAGACTAAATATCACTTTTTAATTTTTTTTTTAAAGTTTATCTTGTGTATCAGTATTAATGTAAAATCTCCTTGTTCAACCTTATTTACCATAAAATAATAATAAAAAATCAAAATTTAATGTTAAAATCTTGCATATTGAGGCCATCTTGGTACCCACCTCCCGACCCGACCGGTAGTAGTCCGGGACTTGCTGGTTGATTTGTATGTAATATGTGTTTATGATGAGTAGAAGACAATAAAAAAGTTCATGGAATTCTTCGGTAAGGAGAAGAGACAATTGCAGAGAATTACTACACTAAGAATGAGTTAAATGTTCACAAGAATCCGTGACTTTATAAGTCACTAAGAATGAACAAAAATTTGAATGCGCTTAGACTTTCATAAACTTTTAAAAGTCTATATCTAAATTAAATACACATAGACTTTTATAAACTTTTAAAAGTCCACATAGAATATTATAAACTTTAAACTTTTACTCGATACTACTATATATTGATGTTCAGCTAACAATAATACTACGGGCACTTTTCTTAACGTCAAAATTAGTTGAATCTGTTAAAATAAAATGTACTTGAAGCGGTTCAATAAGCTGGATATGCTAAATTATGAAAAAAATTATATTTATTTAAAATATATTTTATTCTTTTCATTATTGATAAAATCAAGACAAGAGTTTGTATTTATATATCTGCCAAATTTAGAGCCCGTTAGGTAGCACCAAAATCGGCTGTTTTAGTTGATTTTGCTGAAATTTATGAAGTTCTGGCTGAAGTGGTTGCATTGGATGATTCTGCTGATTCAAGAAAAAAATATTTTTAAAACATATTTAATTAATAAAATAAACAAAAAATGTATTTTTTTTGGATGAACAAAAAACATATGAAGAGTAACTTCAGCAAAAATAGATAAAATAGTCATCTATAGTAACTTCAGCCAATACAGCCAGAAAAGTAACTTCAACCTTACTTTTTCTGCTTATTACACAACTAAGCGCGCACAAGCAAAACTTATGTGTTTAATGAAAAAGTTGCTTGATAAGTCTGATAAGCCGAAAAACAGTGTTGTCAAACGACCTCTTAAAAGAAAAACGTTAAAATAAAGAGTACTTCATTGTAATAAAAATCGTAACAAAAGCAAATGAATTTTGTTAGTTTGTAAGCTACTCCGTATAAAATTAAAAAGGCCCCACATGTTTAATCTAAATAAATACTCAAAACAAAGATGCCCATTGACTATTTCAAGAAAGGAAATCCGTATACTTTTAATATTTAAAAAAAAATAGAGGGTTATGTTCACTCTCCAAATGGGAGGTGAACAAAATTAAACTTGTATTTCACAACTTCGGATGTTTTTACTTGGACTGTAATTTGCTGGTCTGGTTTGGTCTGATCTGGTTTGTTCTAGTCTTAACTGGTCTGGTCTGGTAAGGTCTAGTTTCTTTGTATTTTTATAACTATCCAAGTCTGGTCTGGTCTGGTGTGAACTGGTCTAGTCTGGTCTGGACTGGTCTGGTCTGGTCTGGGACAAATTACAGTCCAAGTAAAAACATCCCGTATCATTTAATTACACTTTTCTTAATTAATTATAATCGTGCATTGTCATTATATTCACATTTTGTTAATAGGTGTGTCAATTCAAACGGAGAGTTTTTCTTTGTGATTTTTACCTTTTATTTACCATCACATATTCGCTTATTGTGCTGAATATTTTAAAGATCTGGTGGAAGTAGTTGGTTGACTGAATAATGAAAAAATATTTAAAATATATTTTATTAAAAAAACAAAGAAAAATTTATATAAAAAAATGGATAAAATCATCCTCTGAAGTAACTTCAAAGTTCAATCAATTCAGTCAAAAAAGTAACATCATCTTTACTTATTTGGATTATTATACGGAGTACAATTTAGCGTGTGGAATTCAAAGCTAGGTGTTTGGGTGAAAAGGTGTACTGATAATTCTGATAAGCCGAAAAATAGGGTTGCTGAATAGGCTCTTAATTTTTTAATAATCTCAAATTTCGATTATAACTCTCAACCACCATCTTCAAATAATATGTTCTTTTTTTGGCCTTCCGCTAATTAACCTATTACATATTTACATATACTTTTCAAATAACCTTAAAATAATCTAAATTCGTTTTTTGATCCCGAATTATTCTAGTAAGTAATATCACCGATTGATTTATGCCACTCAATGATACTCCTCTACAAATTTGTCATATCACCAACTTAAACTTATAAAATTTTATGAATGTATGTGGATGTCCTTACTATTACGTTTACATGTCTAATGCATTTGGTTTGGATTTACACAAGGAAATAAAGGGAAATTTCAGAAATAGTAGTAAAAATGTTTTAAAACTTTAAAATAAGATTTTTATTTTTATTCTCTAAATAGGAATAATTAATATTGTCATATTTAAAATGTTGTAATATCAAAACATGGCAGTTCCTAATTAAACAATAAAATATATAATTTCTATAATTTACCAATATTTTTACTCCTATGTAGAATAATTTCTTAAATACAATTATACAAATTTTAGTTATCATTGGTGATTAATATGCCCAAATAAACTCTAGTGGTCAATACTCAATATGTACCTTCTCCCATACTATGGTGTCAATAAGACTGGACAAAGTCCTATGATGTTTTTAATTGGATCGAGGAAGCAGTCCCGCTCAGCTGGTCGCCGACTCACTCTCCCTTATGGGAGGTCTCGGGTTTGAAACTCAATCGAGTGAGCTTCAGTTCAGTTTACTCTAGGCCTCCAGACCCTCTCCCCGGGCTCCCCATTGAGTAAACAAAAAGACGTTTACTCTAGGCCCCCCATATTCTATTTTCGTAGTTCAGAATTGAACGATAAAAAATGGTGCAGATAAGCACTTTTACGATCTACTCTTCTAAATTACATCCTTTTCTAGACTTTCAAAATCTTATCTTTATCAGGCCAGTTTTATATGAATTTGCATTTCAGTTTTAAACTGATCGCCAATCCAATTTATGCTTGATTTGGATGGTGATAGGGCGGACTCAACCCTGGAATACAGGAAAGAGCATTCTCTTTGTAAACTAACCAAACCTAGACTATAATATAAAGAATATAGGCATTTTGTATTCTATGAAAAATATAGCATTCTCATGGATAGGATACCGTGAACAAGCATCTATGGTACAACACAGAGATATGTTTTTCAGCACAGAACTAAGTGAAATAGAAAGAAAGGATGGATACCATGAAAACTACGATAGTATGTTTTTGATATGTCCTGCTTGAGTTCACAACCTAGGTGGTTGGCTTGATCAAGTGAACTCACAATTTCAGTGACTTTGCATTTAAAAACTACCCCCAGATTGAAAATTCGTTGGCACACATGATCGAGTTTGCTCATTTTTCTATTTTTTGGACGGTTGAACCTTTGGGTGATTTTGACATTTGAGCGCAGAACTTTCTATGGAAAAATGAAAATCTTCTTATTTTCATAGAGACCAAATAAATAAAATAGTTCTTGCACAATTTCGTTCACTTTTCCCTCTTATGTTTCTGGGACTGACAAACCATTTTAGTTTTTGGTCTTTAGGAGGATGCATATGCTATTTCTCCCTGTTGTTTGATCTTTTGAACTAATTAGTCTTTATAATAATCTATTCAGTTTTTTTATGGCCTATTTTAATTATTGAGCATTTGATATTTATTGCAGTTCACAGAATGTTTTATACCCTTACCTTGCATTTTCTAGACGACTGTTTTTTTTAGTATGAAATCTGAAATGGATTCCAAGGGCAGCAGCACTTTGATGTACTAGCGACATGTTACCGTTTTGGACCGTTTATTGATGTAACTTCCCTCAATAGTCTCTAAGACTATCTCCATGTATAGCTAAGAGAAAATTATCGAGATATTTTTAAATCATACTAGTATATTTAAAATAGTTTTAGTAACTATTGGACATTGACCTCGCACAATGTGCGGGCCAATGAAAAAAAAAAGGATGACACCCCATCCCTGAAGACCCCCAACACCGACTGGACGGCACGATGGGAGGATGTAAATTGAACTATAATCACAATCTGACAGATAGAGAGTGGGGCTCTGTCCCCGGTACTTGCAGAAGCCCTATGCATTTTCAGCATAGTAACCCCTCATCGCAGTTGCCGGGATTCGAACCCGAGACCTAACCCTTGTGGCACTCCCTCGCTACCAGTTGAGCTACGTCCACCGGTATGCAGGCCAATGCAAGTAAACTACATAGAAGCTTATTTCTAATAAATGACTACTTGTGTGTACTAACACTACAAAAAAACATGGGATTGGCACGAAAATTTGGCACGGATTATCGATTTTTCGTGCCAAAGTTTTTTGGCACGGATTTGACATAATCCCTGCCAAAATCTCTATTAAACCCGTGTTTTTTTGGTAGTGTAAGTACATGGTGGACCGTCTTGACTCTGATCTATACCTCGTCATCTTTTTGCGAGAACGGGAGTGAGTGGGGTTCTAACTTTTGAGTGTAATGAAAACGCCATGGCCCATCACAGTTTAAAATTATTCCAATAATGGTTGGAGTCTAAAACCACATGATCCACAGGATTATAAATATGAAACTATAACTAACATGGCTGTTAAATTTATTAATTACTTTATTTTATACAACAGGACATTAGGACATGTGATTGTGCAACGTTATCCGGCAACATAGGGTACAGGCATATCTGTTTACATAATAAAAATAATAATACATCATAGACTACCACGATATTTAATCTAATTTGAGTTGGCTATTGAATATTGTATCTCCCTTGACAAACCCTATTGGCGGTTCTCTTGAGTATTTGATTATGTTCACTCGTTCTCATGGCCCAACCCCCATCAATGGATCTAAAAAATGTTCGAGGTCGTCTGAATGGAAATACTTCTTCCCAATTGGGAACTTGGAATAACTTTTCCAAATCTCTGAGAGAAAGAATGATTTGATAATTTAGTCCTTGATAAGGTTCATCGATGGAGTAAAAAGGAATGAAAGATAAGTGTAATTAATAGCTAATGCATGCACCATTACTAAAAATAAAACATGAATATATATGTTGTTCAATTACCGTCTTATTACAAATATATTATGAGGAGTCATTGGAATCGGAACAGTTAGATAAGTATTGCAGAGTTCCTCATCAGATTGGTTTCGCAGTGATTCAATATACTTCAAATATCTTTTGCCCCTATAAATTGAAAAAAAAAATCAAAACATATAACAATCACAAAAATAGTAAATGATAAATCTTAAGTGTTAGGGCTTTACAAGATCCCAAATTCTTCATAATAGATAAATTAAGGAATTCCCGAAATAAGAGAAAAAATAATGTGTAATTCAAAAATAGAAGTACTTCGTAGTATTTATGGTCTGATCCGGTCTGGTCTTGTAAATGTATCATCTCTGTGTATTTTATAAATATCTAAGTCTGGTCTGATCTGGTCTGATTCGGTCTAGTTTGGGATTGAAAACAGTTCAAGTAAAACATCTTAAATAGGTGAGCATAAATTATCGCCATCCTAAAATAAAATTAACATATTCTGACATTTTCAGGAATAAATATGGCAATATTATTTTCATTATTGATAGTATTTTCAAACATGACAATATTAGCCCATTTAAGTGAAAAACATAGTAATTTTGTTATGAAATTTCACATTATTTTTACTTTTATTTAGGACTCTTTATTATACATACTCTATGTAGATTATAGCCATGTTGGGAGGATACCTAGAAACATAAGCAATAGTGAATTGGTCAGACTCAATATCATATGTCTCGAGCAATCTATTATCCCAATTGGGGTCCCTTAGACAAGCGCGTTCTCGAATACGCCGAATATATTCATCAGGACCTTTTGTAGTCTCATGGAAGGTTGCTGGAAATATTGACCCGTTGCCAGTTTCCACCTAAAAACACATATTTGCCGATAATTAATAATGAAAACAACCTAGCTAGCTCACTTATATTAACTACCTAGAGTTGTTTTCTCATACTCTGATCTCTTTGTCCCTTAATTATAACTTACGTTCCTATTTAGTTTCAATATATTGAATTTTACATTATTCACAAGTTTAACTTTGACTACATTTTATTTATTAATATATATGACTTTTTATAAATCTAATTTGTTATATATTTACTAATAGAGAATTAAATATACAGTCAAGGTTGAGCTTTGGCAAATATGAACATGAGAGTGTTGCAACTAAAAACAACGGAATAAGTAATTTATTCAAAGTTAACAAATGCAGGCAATACTAAAATAAAAATTGTATGATTGATATATGTGCAGAGGAGACCTGATTATTAGGAACTACCAGTTAATTATTTTTATAAACGGACTATGGTTACGTTATTGAGACCATCTATCACAATAAGAGAGTGGATTAAGTTAAATTATAAGGGATAAGGTATCGAGAGAATATCACATACCAGAAAACCTTTGAGAAATGGATAAGCATTTCCTTCTTCATCATATATGGTGTTGTCATTAAGAATATACATAGTTTGAATGTTAAATCTTTTGTTGCTTTTCCAAAGGACTTCAACTGTCTTCAAACAAATAAAAGTGGAAGTTCCATCCCACGTTCTACAATTTTGTTGCGGTGAAGTATTGTAACCACCAATTATATGAACCTACATATCACATCATATCATTAAGAACATGTTGCAAATAGAATAACATTAGGAACTGTATATGAACTATACTTCGTATTTAGGATAAGTGTAGGACATGTCGATCTTTCATTTTCTTAATTATACTTCGTATTTTATACACATCCAATACTCTATCAAATAATTTGTGTTGTATTATTACACCCAAAATGTAAATACTCCATATATACAGACGACTAATTTAAGTACTACGTATATGGCTTCTGCCATAATCCTCGTTGTATAGTTGTATATATACTACGTCATTTTTCATTTAATTTAATTTAAAATATTGATCTACTAAATTTATGCATTTATCGTGGCAATGCTTGGATAAAACATTTGTAAACCTGAAACCTCACCTAATGTGAATATGTGATGACGTAGGGTGGATATTTTTTTAATATTTATTATTCAAGTTTTCATGTTGGCGCTCTCATAATCTTGAAGTCTATGAAGTATGAACTACCTTCGGAACTCCTAGACAGTCGAATTTGAATCAGAAATTGTCCTAAATAGGAGTAAAAATGTTTTGAAATTCCAAAATAGGAGTATCATGTTTTTTATTCCCTGAATAGGAGTAATCTGCCAAGTTTGGAAGAAAATGCCATGTTTAAAGCCCAAACTTGGCAGAAATTTACTCCTATTTAGGAAATAAAAAACATGATACTCCTATTTTGGAATTTCAAAACGTTTTTACTCCTATTTAGGGAATTCTCTCAATTTGAATTTGGTGATGGTCAACCTTTATTGGTACTGGCTTTAAAGGATTAATCCAGCAAGACTTATGAGTTAATAGGTGCTGAAGGCTTGGAGACAAGTGCATATTATTAGATCGGGCTGTACATATTTATTTTGGGCCGAAGGGCTCTGTTTCTTTGTATTCTTTATACACCAACTTGTATAAATACTCGGTATTATGTTAATAGACACAAGGGAAATATTTTTACCCAAAATTAAGTTTATTCTTTCACAATATGGTATCAGAGACGTGAGGGTCTTCTGCGCACCATCATCGTCGTCTTCTCGTGCGTAGGTCTGCACCAGTGTGTATCGGCCTAGCGACATGGGAGACATAACATCGCCATACTATTTGGGCTCCGGAGATCAACCCGGAAACCTTATTACTCATGTCATATTCAAAGGCGACAACTACGTCGCTTGGTCACGAGCTTTTGCTCTATCTTTGAAGGCACGTCGGAAAAATGTTTTCATCGACGGCACACTGACGGAACCTACTGAAGCTGCAAAGAAACTTGATTTTGAGACGGTGAATTCCATGATAGTTTCTTGGATACTCAGGAGTATGGAGCCGCATGTTGTAGCGACCATACCATTCCATGAAGATGCCCGGAAATTATGGTTGTACTTGGAGAAGCGCTACAGCGTTGCCAACGGACCCCGACTACAACAGTTGCGTGCCTCAATTACGGAGTGTCGGCAGAGCAAGAGCATGACAGTAGACATGTATTATACCGCACTCATGGGGCTGTTCGACGAGTTACACAGGCTGAAGCCTTTACATGTGTGGTCGTGTGGACGGTGTACATGCGGTGTTGTGGAGAAGTTTGCAGCTGATCGCGAGGAAGAGAAATTACATCAATTTCTTGTGGGAATTGATGACGAAATTTACGGGACTGTCCGTTCCAATCTTTTATCTCACACCCCTTTACCCGATCTCAACCGGGCTCATCAAGCCTTCTTGCAAGAAGAAAACTCCAGGTCTGTGATTCGTGGGAAGAACGCAGCCTCAACTGAAGTGCAGGCTTTCGCTTTCAAGACAGAACGGACTGTCAAAGGTCGTGAAGAAAAGGCAGACCGTGCACGACCAATGTGTACACACTGCAAACAAAAGGGACACGAGGTGACTACGTGTTTTAAGCTTCATGGATACCCGGATTGGTGGGAAGAGCGGCCCCGGGCCAAGGGGCGAATTGCAGCAAGCCGTGAAGAAGGTTATGGTCGAGGGACGGCAGGACCTGTTCGTACTCATGCACTGGCAACAACCTTGCCTGCTCCTGAGGCCGGAGGTTCCTCTTCTGGTAGTGATCCCAATGGGTTGGCTGCCTTGAGTAAGGAACAAATCCAGGCCCTTCTGAATTTAATTAATAATGATTCCCGTTTTTGTGACCGTATGTCGGGTAAGAATTCAATTCATCTTGCTTGGATCATTGATACAGGTGCATCACATCACATCACGGGCAACCTCAATTGCCTTGAAAACCCCGTGCGCATTAATGCTCTTCCGGTTAATTTACCGGATGGTAGGCAGGTTGATGCCATTCTCGAGGGACGTGTGATACTCTCGGATTATCTTACTCTTCGAAATGTTCTATTTGTGCCTGGACTACAGTGTCATCTTATTTCAGTTTCACAATTGACAGATCAGTCTGAATGCCTAGTCACATTTACTAATAATCTTTGTGCTATACAGGACCTTCGCTCGAGGAGCCTGATTGGAGCCGGTGAGAGGCGAGATGGGCTGTTCTATTTCAGAAGACTACCTCAACTACACGCGGTTCAGGGGGGGAGGTGTGTGACGGAGTTTGAATTGTGGCATCGACGTCTGGGTCATCCTTCTGATCGTGTGCTTAAATTACTACCTTATTTTACATCTAGTTCTGTTCAAAAGAAATTGAATAAAGCTTGTGAAGTTTGTCCTCAAGCAAAACAAGTCCGTGATTCCTTTCCTCTTAGTCATAATAAAGCTAGTCGAATTCTTGAATTAATCCATTGTGATTTATGGGGTCCATATAAAACCCCATCTACTTGTGATGCCATTTATTTTCTCACGCTGGTAGATGATTTTTCACGGGCTGTGTGGGTTTATTTGCTGCGGGATAAAAAGGAGGTGCACAAATATTTTCCTTTGTTTATTGCTATGGTTGAGAAGCAATTTGAGGTGCCCATAAAAATTGTGCGTAGCGATAATGGAACGGAATTTAACTGCATGAAGCCCCATTTTGAGAACAATGGTATTCTGTTTCAAACCTCTTGTGTGCATACACCCCAACAGAATGGGAGAGTGGAACGCAAACACCGACATATTTTAAATGTTGCTAGAGCATTAATGTTTCAAGCAAACGTTCCTATACGATTGTGGGGTGAATGTGTTCTTACTGCTGTTTATCTGATTAATCGCACCCCGTCTGGTCTATTTGGTGGGAAAACTCCACACGAAATTCTTACTGGGAAGATGCCATTATTTACTCATTTGCGAACTTTTGGGTGTCTTTGTTTTGCGTACAATCATTCCTCAAGAGGAGATAAATTTTCTCCCCGTAGTAGGAAGTGTGTTTTCGTTGGCTATCCCCACGGCAAAAAGGGGTGGAAGTTATATGATTGGGACACCGGTGATATTTTTGTGTCCCGCGATGTTTATTTTCATGAGGATGTTTTTCCTTTCCTGCCTTCACTTTCATCCATGCCAGATAGCTGTTTGACCGATACCATGTCGTCACCTAAAGTTGTGGATGATGATACAACTGCTCTTATTCCGGGTGACATGGCTTCCAGCTCTACTACACCGGTGACTACTGTGCCAGAGACTACTCCCCCCTTTGCCGAATCCACCCAGGAGGAAACTCCTGTCTTAGGCCGTGGCTTAAGGGCTAAACGGACCTCCGTCCTCCTCCGAGATTTTGTGACAAATAATGTAACAGTCAGCCCATCTTCGCTACACTCCCGCCCTAACAGCTCCTCAGGTACGCTCTATCCTATAGCACCTTATTTAAATTGTGATAAATATTCCTCTCGTCATCGGGCCTTCCTTGGAGCCTTACTCGCAGGTCAGGAACCCCGTACCTTCCGCGAGGCTATGACGCACGCAGGATGGCGTCAGGCCATGAAAAATGAAATTGAGGCTCTCGAAAATAATCACACATGGACCATGCAGCCTCTCCCTTCTGGTAAAAAGGCACTTGGGTGTAAATGGGTTTATAAAATTAAATACAATTCTGATAGCACAGTTGAGCGTCTCAAAGCCCGCCTTGTTGTTTTTGGGAATCATCAACAAGAAGGTATTGATTATACCGAGACATTTGCTCCCGTGGCCAAAATGGTAACGGTTCGGGTTTTCTTAGCCGTAGCCGCCGCCAAGCACTGGGAATTACACCAGATGGACGTCCATAATGCATTCCTTCATGGTGATCTTGATGAGGAAGTTTACATGAAACCTCCTCCTGGTTTCTATTCTTCGCAGCCTGGTCTTGTGTGTCGTCTGACAAAATCTTTATATGGGTTGCGTCAAGCACCTCGTTGCTGGTTCTCTAAATTGGCCACTTCGTTACGCACTTATGGTTTTGTTCAGTCACACTCTGACTATTCTTTATTTACTTATCATCGGGATGCCGTTCATATGCATGTTCTTATTTATGTGGATGACTTGATAATAGCGGGCAATACTTCCCAAGCCTTATCTGGATTCAAATCCTACTTACACTCTTGCTTCCACATGAAAGATCTTGGTGCTCTTAAATATTTTCTGGGTGTAGAAGTGGCACGTGGCACAAATGGCTTATTTCTTTGCCAACGCAAATATGCGTTGGATATTATTTCTGAGACTGGTCTTCTTGGAGCCAAACCAGCTCCATTTCCTATGGAACCCAATCATGGATTATCTCTCGCTACGGGTTCTCTTATTTCTGATCCTGAATCTTACCGACGACTCGTGGGACGGCTTATTTATCTCTCGTTCACTCGTCCTGATCTTGCTTATGCTGTACATATTTTGTCTCAATTCATGCAGGCTCCACGACAGGAACACTGGACAGCAGCGTTGCACGTGGTACGATATCTCAAAGGGTCCTCTGGTCAAGGTATTTTGCTGTCCTCCAAGTGTGATTTTTCCTTGCATGGGTGGTGTGACTCTGACTGGGCCAGTTGTCCGCTCACACGTCGCTCTCTCACTAGCTGGATGGTGTTTCTTGGTACTTCTCCTATCTCTTGGAAGACTAAGAAACAACACACTGTTTCTCGATCGTCTACTGAAGCAGAGTATCGCTCTATGGCTGCTGTGACCGCGGAGTTGAAATGGTTAAAAGGCCTCCTGCACACTCTCGGGATTGATCACCAAAGGCCTATGACTTTATTTTGTGATAGCAAATCCGCTCTTCATATTGCACATAACCCGGTGTTTCACGAGCGAACGAAGCACATTGAAGTTGATTGCCATTATATTCGTGACGCCATACAAGAAGGATTCATTACGGCTCGACATGTCTCCACTTCTGAACAGTTAGCTGACATTTTTACCAAAGCTTTGGGCAAACGCCAATTCTCCTATTTACTTGGCAAGTTGGGCATTCTTGATCCGCATGCTCCAACTTGAGGGGGGGGTATTAGATCGGGCTGTACATATTTATTTTGGGCCGAAGGGCTCTGTTTCTTTGTATTCTTTATACACCAACTTGTATGAATACTCGGTATTATGTTAATAGACACAAGGGAAATATTTTTACCCAAAATTAAGTTTATTCTTTCACAATACATATATTAATTGTACAGACTGAGAATTAGGAAATTAATATAATATTTGGTGGTAATAATAAACTTAGACAAAAGGCTTTTTTATGAGAACCAATAATACAAAGAAAACACTTTTATAAGTGTTAGCTATTAATTTCGGTCTTCCATTTTTTAGTCAATAGCTAAAATTGATGATGTAGCACTTATGAGTTTTGAAATTCATTTAGAGTATTTGTATAAAAGGCACTTTTTCAACTTAGAGTGATTGCAAAAAGACTACTTGTGCATGACTGAAAGGTCATGTACCAAATAAAAGCCCAATTCAAAGTAGTAGAGTCCGGAGGGCAGTTCGTATTAGATCGGTCTGACAGGAACCGTCATCAGATCGATGCCATTTGGGGACCTTCTCGGTGGAATTTTTTGGTGAAATTGTTTTAGAATGTTCCTCATCAAGTTTAATTTATCCATACCAAATTTCAGCTAAAAATTCAATCGGGAAGGCAGTTATACAAACTCCCTACGAAAACTGTACATACTTTTATATATATAAACAGCGCAGTTTTAGTAGGCAATTTTTTCACTTTCTTCTCGATTGAATTTTTAGCTGAAATTTGGTATGGATAAACTAGACGTTATGAGGAACATGCTCAAAAACTTTCATCAAAACATTCCACCGGGAAGGGCCCCAAAAGCCCTCGGCCGGACGGCGAGTCCTATCAGGACAGCCTGACAGGATCGCTACTCGTAAAGTGTGTTCTTAAAATAAATTGAAATGAGTTCTATATAGTACGTACGTCCAAAATGTCATCACTTTCTTCATCGCCTATGGAGGATAACATCTGGGTTAGACCAACCTCAACGATATAGGAATAAATGATATGGGCAACAGAGATCCTGCAACCAATGTCGAATTGAAAAATATGGCACATGAATCTATATTGGAGATTTGCTTCACAGTCCAAGGATGTTTTTACTTAGACGGTAACTTGCTGGTCTGGTCTAGTCAGAAGTGGTCTGGTCCGGTAATATCTGGTCTATTTGTATTTTTATAACTATCCAAGTCTGGTCTGATCTGATCTGGACTCTTTTGATCTGGTCTGTTCTGATCTGATTTGACCTTATCTGGGACAGATAACAGCCCCCAAGTAAAAACATCATTAATTTCATAAAAAACAAACCATGCACGTAGAATGAATTTGGTTATTTCTTATACCTTCCGGTTTTCGGATTTCGTATGACAAGCCCTACGCAAGTTTGCTGACCATCAGTGCCAACAATCTTTAAGATGTACAAAATCACAAAAAACATACGAGTGAATTATTAGGCATTAGGGAATGCGAAAAAAGAATACTAATAGATAAAATCCTCAAACTTCTATCGACTAGGAGTCCACGACACATTGTAGAAGAAATAGAGAGAATATGATCTGAACTTATATTCACGTTAGCCTTGAATGGCTGTATATATACAAGTGTTATGATACATGATAAGATCAAACCTTAACAACTTTGACTAAGGATAAGAACAAATAAGATAGACATAGTGTTAAACTAACTCTACGTAAAGTGTGCAGACTAATAATTATCTAGTTGCTATTCTATCACACATGCATTTAGGGGTGGACAGTGAAACTAGATATCGAAGGGACAAAAATTGAATCGCAATCAAAATAATTGAACTTTTATTCAGTTTTCTTCTTTACAAATCAAATAGAATCCCATAAATTGAACTGTTTAAAAGCACATGGCACAAAAATAATATTATTACCAAAATATAAGGTGATATGGCGAAAAGAAGCCCCATTTCTCCAAATTAAAAGTTTGTATTTGTCTTAGGACAAGTAGAAGGTGATTTGCAAATTTCCGATTTAATAAACTAATCGGGAAAGTAAAACTACACATATCAAATCCGGTCCGGCCAAACCCGATCGATTCCATCTGGGGGGCCACATGAAATCTTCTCCGGTTTCCATTGTACACCGTACACCTACATTTGTCTCTCTATCTCTCTAAGATTGTAATCTATGAGGTATTCTGGTCTATCAGGCCAAGCCCTTTCGAGATTTTTCTAATTCGAATTTTTAATGAATTTTTTTGCAGTATGTTCCTCATGAAATGTAGAACATTTACACAAATTTTCTTTACAAAATTCAATCGGGAAGATAATAAAATAAATTGTTAAAAAGCACTCTAATTTTTGTGCATATTTTTGCGCATTATTTTTCAAAAATTTATTTAACTTAATTCCCAATATAAGTTTTTAATAAAGTTATGTGTGAATGTTCTACACTTCATGAAGAATATGCTCACAAAAGTTCATCGAAAACTTTTACTTGAAATCTCCTCAAACGGGCTTGGCCGGACAGGACTCCCTGCCAGTTCGGATTGATGAGATGAGTTCCTACATTCTATCATTATTAATATGGTGACTATATCTCCTTACCATGTATGGATGTTTTTAGTTTGACTATTTGCGGTCCCATATCAGATCAGATCAACCAGAGCAGATCAGAATTGGAAGTTATAAAATACATAGAGACTAGACATTACCAGACTAGGCAAGAACAGGACAGTTCAGACCAATTCGGACCATATCAAAACTGAACAAAAAAAATTTAGTTTAATTAAAAACATGTTATATCGTCAAATATTATCCCCATTTATGGCAAAAGAAAGTATTTTTCTTCAACTTGCAGTCATGTCAAAGTTTTTAAAAGTAATCCCTCCGTCCCAGAAACAACTTCTCATTTTGACTTGAGCACATTTGAGTGAAAAGTTAAAATGGGTAGTTGACTTTCCAATAATATCTCTTTATGTCAAATCAAGTAAAAACTGCGTAGTTTTGATATTTTCTATGGAAAAGTAACTTTTTATGGAAATGAGAAGTTTATTTTGGGACACTCAAATAAGAAAAGTGGGAAGTTGTTTTGGGGACGGATAGTATCTTTTTTGTCAACACCAAGTGATTCCGATTTCATCGGACTAAATATGGGCTCTAAAGAACCCATTTATCAAAACCCTTAAAAGAAGTAAATCAGACTCACTCTGATCTTACAATTAGCTAGGTTACCACTGTCATCTATACACTACCCCACATAAAAATCATTCATAACTAACTAATTATGGGTGCCCTCACGTTCTCAATCAATACAGTTACCAAAAGCATTGTCTTGATGACTTGAACTCAACAATTTTTGTATGAGAGGATCTTAAGTACGGAAATGAACCACATGCTTCTCATTATGCGTGGCCTCTAGCTTTATATTGTGAGGGGTTTTACTTTTTAGGGCCTACAAAACCATTTAGCTTGCCCTCATTCATTCCTAGCTAGAACCATTTTTATAATGAACATCTTTACCCCATCTTGAAATTATACATATAAAACATAAATAACATAAACCTAATTAGATATCATGATAAGCTAATTAAGTTTTTTATATAGAGATGATAAGCTAAGGTTTAGTTAGTGATATGAGAGCAAACATTACTTACGTCAACCATGCAAGGATCCACAGTGGCATATTCTCTTTGGTAAATATAAACCCATCTAGTTTCTCTTGTGACAAGGAAATCAGATTTATCGCAAAGAGAAAAAGTTCTTTCTGGAAGGGCCTTATATGAAGAAGATGCAGACATCAAAGCAGGATGTCTCACTAAGGAGTTGAGAATATCTACTACTCCCTGCTCAAAGCAACAAAAGACATGCATTATCCCACATTCACACGTCATTTTGTAGATTTCTTAACTAGAGATCTTAAGAATTTAAAGGGTTGTAATTTAATACTAATAAATATACTACTTGAGGTAGTGTACAACTGTACATTATAAAACATACATTGTAAATAGATAAATTTCATTTTTATAAAACATTTCAATTGATTCCATAGAACTAGCTTAGTCTCGTCAGTGCTATATGAAACATTTTTGTGCATGAAACTTTAGCTAGTACGAACTACGAAGCCTATAAAAAGTTAAAGTTATCGTGAAACAATTGAAATAATTATACATTTTGAAAACATACACACATTTTTAGGTTTTTGGAGTTTGCACTTTGAAAACATTAACCAGTTAACCACTTAATTACTTGATGTGCTACATCAATCCACATTTGTGCACTAAAAGCATAGTTAGTTTTTATCATTTTAAAGTGCAAACAGCTTTGGGTAGCATTATACTCATATATTTGGACATGACATCTTGAGTTCTTCGGGAGTATTAAGCATTGTATGGACCACACTCAAAAATGACGACGCCACTATAAAAAAGAATAATGATGAACCGGCGAAAAAAGTGAACGATATGATGACACAATCCAGATGAAGTATATAGTTGTAAGGAGATATGTTAAAGTCTCACATTGATAAAATATAAAGTAATAAAATGTTACATATCTTGGACTACTCTTTGGGATTTACATAAAATCTTACGGATTGGCATAAAACCTAATCCACTATTAGGAAAAAACTAAATTTGGTTTAGTGTCCATTTGAACTTTATAAGTCCTCAAAACCTGAATTGGTATATTGGACAGATGCACGTGTCATGCACGTGGTACATTCAAATCATGAACTACGATTTGTCCGACACAAATCGAGTTTTTTCAAATACAAAATGAGCAAGTAGCCAAGTATTGTATAAAACGAACGAGTTGGAGAGGAAGGGATTCAGCCTAGCTGGTCACCGACTCACTCTCCCTTACGGAAGATCTCAAGTTTGAAATTCAATGGACTAAGTTTCAGTACTGATTACTCTAGGCCCCACAGACGCCCTCGGGAGTAAAAAAAATAAATGAGTGGGAAAATTACAATTTTAAAATTAGTACACGTTGAAGAATTGAAGTTGCGAAATACCGGATATAAAATACATACCCAGATATCATTTTCTTTCAAAAAAACAAGGACAAATCTTTGATTTCGAGTCAAGGGGACAAATTTTATTTCGTTAGCCTAGGTGATGGAAAAAAATCACTAGTGTAGTGGGGCAAAAAAATCAATCGCTAGTGTTCCGGGGCGATTAAAGTGTAATGTATTGATACATTAATGCGTAATAAATGACAAGTAATCAAAGGAATATTATTTGAAGATAAAAAAGTATATGTAACATTTTATCATATTATTTGAAGATAAAAATTTTAAAAAGTACACATCCACCAATGATTTTTAAATAATTTTGTCTTGTTTAACTACATGAATCTTATCAGAGTAAAGAATTGATTTTTGATTTCCAATTCTTGTCCGCTAAAGAGGTGTTCGTGAGTCATGTGGATCTTTCTTAATATTACAAATTTACAATAGTATATGTATGACATTATTATTTTTAGAATAATATTATATTGCTAATTCATATATATGGTACATATTATATTTGTATTAATGCTAAAATATGTTAAAGTTTATTATGTTTGCAATAATTTGTTTATTGAAAGTAAGTAATTGAATTGTGTAAGGGCTCATTTGGTAACACTCAAATCGACTGTATCGGCTGATTCTGCTGAATTTTATAAGTTCTGGATGAAGTGGCTGTATTGGCTGATTCTGCTGATTTGTGGGGAAAAAATATTCAAAGTATATTTTATTAATAAATAAAGAAAAAATATATGTAAAATAGTTGTCATCTGCAGTAACTTCAGCCAATACAGCCAGAAAAGTAACTTCAACCTTACTTTTCTTATTACTACAAAATTCAGTGTGCGAAACCAAAAGTTACGTGTTTGGTGAAAAAATGGCAGATAAGCCTGAAAACCCAAAAATCATGGTTACCAAACGGGCTCTTATATTTTGGATTCACTTCACTTGATTTAAAAACTATTTAACTAGTGTGTCTGGTATTTAATATTGTTTGATATTCTACAAAGTTGAGTGCTAGTTATCTTATAAATATAATCAAACAATACTAAACTAGGAATTTAATTGATACAAGTATATAATAAGTATCCTAAATCTTAAACAATGAGGTGTTCTATTATTTATTGGTTCAATTTATTTAAATTATTTTAGATGTTTCTTTTTTTACATCTCTAATAACATACTCCGTATTACATTATGAAGGCTATATATTAATTTAGACAACTCAAGTGTACAAGTTAAGGAGAACGAACACAAATATATTTAATTAAAGTATGAAAATTTTATGAAAATATTACATATGGAGTACGTAGTACATAATAATTTTTACATCCCTGCAAAAAATCATACTCAAATAAGATATTTATTTACCATCAACGTAACAAGCGTTAAAAATCATTTCTCCCATAAAAACTCCAAACCGTTCACTTTTTCCACAGTATGATGCACTATTGGATTTATATGTAGCACTTTTTTGAATTGTCAGAAAACTTTCACTTATTTATGAACGGCCACCGCATTATTTTTTATTTAGCATGGTTTGACCGAAGTTCAAAAAGTGCAACAGATCACCCATAAAGTGC